TTCTCATAAATCTGAATGCTGTGAGAGTTGTTTTTTTAAATGGGTGAAAGTGATCTGGGTTCTCGAAAGCATACACTTAAAATGTTTATCAGATCATTCCCCTAAACAAAAAGAGTATTTTGACAAATTTTCATGAAATCATATACTATATAAATGATATAGCATTTTATTTAACATATAATGTAGAAACAGGTTTTTAAGTAATATTCCAACTTAACTGTTTTTATAAAGAATGAAGGGGAAATTTTTTAAAAAGAGAAGAAATCCTGAACTGCCCCATTGTTCAATAAAGGAAAATAAATTGTAGGAATATTAGTAAGAGACAATGATGGAGTTAGTTTTCTGATTTCAAAGAGCAACTGTTTCCTTCCTGAAGAATAAAATCCTTTAGAACTTTATTGTCCAGAGTTTCCAGAACTAAATTGATTAATTATTCAAACTGACTACCTGATGGTCCTCACTCTAACCCACCCAGGCAAAAAAATATCTATAAAAGTACAAACCTCAAAAGAACTAGTCAGGGTGAGGGGAGGGGATGGTTATTTCCTGTTTTCCCTCTGAAAACATGATTTCTTGACTGTACAGTGAAGAGTCTCTTTCAAGACTACAAATGGTGAAATGGTGAAAGGAGGTAGGGGCAGGAAGAATGGAACACTCATCTATAAAAGAAAGTAATGACTAAGGTTTTCATCTATCTACTTAACACAAAAAGATACACTATTGCTTTGCATGCCCATGCTTTAGAAGAAAGAAGCATACAAAAGAAGAAAAAAGCAAATAAACATTACCAAATTAAGAGTTCTCTTGGCTACTCTCTGATACATTATCTCTGACTCTTCATATACTTACATTTCAAAAGTATCCTTTCATTTTCTGCCAGTTTTCATCCATGTGAATATGTATCAATGGTATCAAATCATATGGCATTAATAAAGATGCCATTCCTGTTAAACAGATGGATGCTCTGATTTTAATATAATTTCCCTATAAAGGCTGCAGTACAGCACAACCCTGTGTAATGGCTAAATTCCAAATATATTATTTAAACTATAGGCTATATTTCAAAAGATTCTAATTTCTCACATTCTTCAAATATACTGCTAAACAGACTAGATGGTATGACTGGAAGTTATATACTCATTAAAAACAACAGAGAAGAACAAGCATTTAATATGCATAAGAATTTAATATATATTTATAATGTAGACCTAGTATGTACAAATGGAAGTTTAACAAAATGATAATTAGCATGTATTTTGAACTGTAAATTATTTTAAGGGTTTCAGCTTATTACATTAAAGGTGTACAATACTTTTAAAAATGTCAAATTTCCATTTTACTTAATCTTTGTGCATGGGCATTATTTTGTAAACATTCCCAAAGGAACTCTGGGTTTTATTTTTTAATTAAAAACAGTAAAGCAAGATCTGTATCATAGAAAATAACTATTTCCATCTTTACAATACAAGACAGTTTTCAAGAATTAAAAACAAATCTGTAGTCACTGGGAAACTCAAAACCGCAATGAGATACTACTTCACATTCATAGAATGGCTGTCATAAAAAAAGACAGATAATCGCAATGATAGTGAGGATGTAGAGAAATGGGAATCCTCATATACTGTTGGTGAGAATGTAAAATGGTATATAGCCACTTAGGAAAACAATCTAGAAGTTCCTCAAAAGGTTAAGCACAGAGTTACCATATGAATCAGTAATTCCACTTCTACATACCCAAGAGTAATGAAAACAATATCTACACAAAAGGTTGTATACAAATGTTCACAGTAATTTTATTCATAATAGCCAGAAAGTGGCAATAACCCAAATGTCCAACAACTGATAAGTGGATATATAAAATATGGTATCTTTGTAACATGGAATATTATTCAGCAATCAAAAAGAAGGACATGCTGATATATGCTACAACCTGGATGAATTCTGAAAACATGATGCTAAGTGAAAGAAGCCAGTCACCAAAGACCACATATTGTATGATTCTTTTTATATGAGATGACTAGAATAGGCAAATCTATAGAAACAGAAAGCAGTTAGTGTTTACCTAGGGCCAAGTGGTTGGGAGCAAATAGGTGAGGTAACTGCTAAAGGGTAGAGTTTCTTTTTGGAGTGATGAAAATGTTCGAAAATTGTTTGTGATGGTTGCACAACTTTGTTAACATGCCAAAAAGCACTGAATTGTACACAGTAAACACAAAAATTGCATGGTATGTGAATTACATCTATTATGCTAACATACTCCCTGCTCAAAAAAAAAAAAAAAAGAATCCAATGCAATGACTTTCAACTGCAGCACATAAAAAACCCAGTTTATGGTTAGTCAGAGACGGGTAAGATTCCTCAAGGGAGGAACAACCTAAGACAGGCACGGTTGCAGGGGGGGCCATCAGGTGAGAAATTGGGAATCAACAGTGGTGAGGCTTAGAACATCACCCCCCCTGTTTTGAGAGAAATCTTCTGCATCCGTGGATGTTTTAAGGCCCTTGTCTAGCTTGGATTAACACATAGTCTACAGGCACACACCTGATCATCTACAATTGCTCTCTTACAACACTAAACTATGTTTTCTACCTTTATCTTGCATCTACCTACCACTGCAGCATTTTATTAAAAATAAAAATAA